AATTAATAGCTACTTAAAACAGTGAATTAGATTGAAGAAACAATAATTGTGTGAAGTAAATGGCTAAGCCTAATATACTTCTATCGTAACTACCTTTTGTTATCTTTTTTCTATGCCCATCTGTGGGACAGTGACAAATCTACGGATTTACATTAAAATCCAAAGTGCGATTCCTCACGTTGGACAAAGAAGAAAGCTCAATGCGACTTTGTTTTAAATAAACAATTCTGGCTTAATTTTAAATTCTATACTCATATACTTAAATTAAGGCTCATGAGAAAGTAAGCATAGGCTTCTTTTCTTCATTATCTTTCACACACTAACAGGGAGCCTTTTTTTTACAAAACAGGAGTTTTTACTGCCCAGAATATCCCCCGGGGCTGGAATGCTATTAAAACTCGTAATTAATTGTTGGAGATCTGTGACGTTTTTCTACTAATTACTTCCACCCCTTTTTTATAATTATTGTTTGAAGGGTAGATGAATTCCATCTTAAAAATTGTGATCTAGGGGGTCTTTAAAGTGGACATGTCCATCTCTAACCTGCTATGCACTGATGGATCTGCGGGTCGCGGGTATCAATCCAATCACGGAATAAGCTTGCTCATTCAACCTTGAGGGCGTTATAATATGATGTACAATCCAACTATTTGTTAATAAAAGAGTAGCTTAAGAGTTGGCGGAGGGTGATGTTGACTAGCTGCCTTCCCTCTAGTCTATCAGTTCAAAAATAGGGATGGCTATTGCAGTTACCCCTTGAATAGCTTTGCATTAAATTCGACACACAAATAAATCAAGGCATACTTTCAGAGACAGGGTCTCCTTGTACAAATGGTTCTTGTATACTTTGACGACATCCAACTGAGCAAATATGACCATTTAATTGTAGCTAAGGTGCTTCAAGTAATCATATCAATTTGCAAGATAACTGAAGTCCAAAACTGACAAGTGGCGGTGGTGTCAAAGAACTTAAGAGTAGAGAGTTTTCTGAAAAGTTACCTAAAGATACAACTCCAGGGAACAAGAAAATAATAGCTAATTACTCTGTTTATGAAAAGAATGTCTTGGTGTGATTTATGGCATTTACATAGAGATCAGCGTTGTTAAACTTCAGGAAGAACTTTTAGACCAAGTACTAAGGTCCTTGCTGTTCAGCGTTTATCCTGTAGAGTAGAAAGTGAAAGGATTGAAACCAGGAGTGTCTTAATTACCTTTGAGGGAACAATTATTTCTCACATGTTTTAATAGGAATTGAATGATTTTTATCAGACTGTTTGTAACTAGTTCCACACAGTATCATAGGTATCAATATTGTTACGTCTCCGTTCGTTAGTTGATTTTCCGTAACTTCGTTCCCACGAAACTTT